AAGTCTGAGCAATTTTCTTTCCTTAACTTTGGAATTTAAAGGTCTTGCATCAAGGCAGTGACACAAAGAAAATCATTATGCCTCCCACTTTCTGCTTCTCACCTTGGATCCCCACCACATGAACCCAGCCGCACACTCACACACACCCAAAATACTTTTAACTCTTGCAGAGCTCAGTGTGAGGGGCCTCCCTGAGTGCCAGGCCCAGCATGGTTTCATCAAAAGGGAAAGGACATCACCATGACTGCAATATTTCTTGTCCACAGCTAACAAGTAAATTACTAGCACTTAGCCCGTCACCCTTGTCACAGAACCAAGCTTTTATGTAGCTGACCTCAGTCTGAGAGAGGGAGAAGAAACTCTCCCCAGAACAGATGGCAGCCTCAGCTCCAGCCAGAGAGGGGTTGGGGAAATGAACACTATTTACGCAAGTCAGAAAAGAAAGCAAAAAGCTTTACCCCAAGTGGAAAATTAACTGTGGGGTTATTTTAAAAACTCTCACATAACTTAGCTCCAGGGGGGTGACGGGAATGATGTCATACTTGAGAATGAATCACTCAAAGGAAGAGGGGTGTAACTCAACTGATATTAGATCAGTAGGGACACATTATTTGTTGGACTGAGGGTACTGTTCGAATATATAATATATTGTGCTGTTAGTCCCTGGAATTTTAACTATTTCGATGCTATAACAGTCTGTTACACTTCCATTGGGAACAGATACAAATAGATTATCCTTTTTAAAATGTTATAAGGGAGTTGGAGCCAACAACATATAGAACTACAATGTTTCCCACAGAATTTGATTCTATTTGTGGGGGCACCGCACCGCGGCCCGCCACAAATAAATCAATGTATGGGAAACACTGAACTACAGGTTGAGATCTAAAATCAAAATGTATTTCAGTATATTCATCAACATAAGAGTCACTTGAATAGTAGATTAATAAATAGTAGATCTATTTTTCTCACATTACCTCTTTTCACCCTCTGTCTGAAACCAGAGCCCAGTCTGCTCTGATTGGTTAGGTGGGCGGCTCTGTTGTGATTGGTCAACCTCTTCGACATGTCCCGCCCCTTAGCCGTACAATGTGTTAGAGGGCTAGCCAATAGAAGAGCGAGTGTTACATAGTGATGTCACTGTTATGGAAGTAAACAAAGGAGTCCAATGGAGGTGTTTCAGGCAGGTAAATGCAGACCATTTTCATTTCATTTCATTTCAAACCTTTATTTAACCAGATGGTCCCATTGAGATCATAGATCTCTTTTTCAAGGGAGACCTGCAGCAAATAGGTTCCACATGAAACATAAAACAATAAAGGACATCATACATTATATTTACAGGATACATTTACATAGTTACATGTATAGACATTTACAAGTACCCATGGTATCAACAAGCATTTCACTTAGCCTAGCTTTAAAAACATGCAGAGGAATGAGATTGCTCAGTTTCAATTCTTGCTGAAGATTGTTCCAAGCAAGTGGAGCTGCGCACATAAAAGCTGTCTTACCTAAGACAGTCCTTGCTCTTGGCACACGTAACAATACTACATCATGCGATCTCAGACAATAGCTGCTTGCAACTCTCTGTGTTATTAGTGAACAGATGTAATACGGGAGTTTACCCAACATGGCTTTATAAAACATGCACAGAAACCCATAACACACTACAGGGAAGGGGAAACCCAATAGGGCCCTGTAACATTCTGAATGCACTTTTACACACAAATGTTTGCTGTTGGCACATACAAATGTTTGAGAACTCTTACATTCATTAGATTTGAGTTTATATAGATCTATATAGTCCAAAATGGAGGAAGTCATCGTTTGTTGTGTTGCACCATGCCAGCTTATGCACTGCCCTGGATAAATGCATAAAAGAACATGTTTTACAGTACCATGAGATTGTAAAGGATGATACAAAGTGTGTTGACCTACCTTCCCAGTCCAGCTGTACCTATTAGGTGTCTACACTTTCTGTCTGAAGAATACTGAGACCTTATTGTAATAACAGACTTTATTGTACATTGTATTGAGAAACCCCAGAGGAGGTAACATTTCCTAATGCCAGCAGATGTCTTTCATCAGCCGTTTAGTTTCCCCTTCATTAATCATTTTCACAAATCTCAAAGCCACTAATTACACTAACAAGCTTAGTGAGGAGGTGACACACCCTCAGACCCTGGGGAGAATGAGATGGCCACTTTCTGAGTCATTTCACACACACACACACACACACACACACACACACACACACACACACACACACACACACACACACACACACACACACACACACACACACACACACACACACACACACACACACACACACACACACACACACAGTATCATCAGAGCTGGTTCAAGAGGGTTTTTTCAGGGCCTTCTTGATGTGTTTCAAATTAAACATAATGTTTTCTTAAGACATCAATGTCGCATCCTAAAGAGGTTAGCTGCTGTTATTGTATCAGATATGTCAAAACTGAATATTTCTTCATTAAAAGAAGAGCAAAGAACGTTGCGTTACTTAACGTAACCTTGGTTCTTTGATAACAGAGTGAGGTGTTTCACTATGGGAGACGCTCCCGCGTGACCAACTAAGGAAGCTGCAATGACACAACGTCTGTCAGTGACAGACAGGTCAAACTGTACTTGGGGCACGCCTCTCATATTAATACATATTAATCAAAAATACTTGGCAGGTGATTGGATCAATCTGTCTATCACCTTCTATCATGGGCCACTTCTGATTGGCTAACAATGACTGGTACATGTGTAGCACAGCACTTCTGATTGGTGTGGATGACTGACACACAAGAAGAACAAAACTAAAACTAAAAAGATTCTTTTTTTAAAACTTAAAAAAATCGCAGGCTTTGCGATTTGATAATTGCATCATTTCAAATCGCGATTTCGATTTAAAATCGATGAATCGTTCAGCCCTACTTGTAATGCTTTTACCCCATTTGTGACGAGTGTGTGTGTGTGTGTGTGTGTGTGTGTGTGTGTGTGTGTGTGTGTGTGTGTGTGTGTGTGTGTGTGTGTGTGTGCGTGCGTGCGTGCGTGCGTGCGTGCGTGCGTGCGTGCGTGCGTGCGTGCGTGCGTGCGTGCGTGCGTGCGTGCGTGCGTGCGTGCGTGCGTGCGTGCGTGCGTGCGTGTGTTCTGATTAGATGATGTAACTTAGGTGTGTGGCCCTATTTGGGTACATCGTTTTTCCAACCCAGTTTAGATTTAACCCACGGGCACTTCCTCATTAACTTCATGGACTATAAAGAGAACGTCGCTGTCCCCATGTTAATAATAATATCACGTCCACTGTAGCTAGGAAAAATAAAACTAAGTTCAGTCAGTATAAAAATAATTTTGAGATTGAATGGAAAAAAAGGTGATACAAATTCTGTGTGTGTGAATACAAATGTGTATAACCGACTTTTAATATATTAGATTGTTCTGAAATGAGGTTGCTTTGACACCTGTAATCTGGTTTACTTGGTCCAGACTACAGACCAAAAATATTGGTGCCTTGTTTTCCTATTGCAAATATACCATGGGGTTGTAAACAGAGGCTAGGCCCTAATGATTTACCAATGCTAGACACAAGCAATGACTAGACCCTGTCCATCTTTAGTGAAACAGCCATTAGCTTGGTGCAGGCAGTTTAAACATCTATAACACTGCTTTATGTCCAAATGTCAGCTGCTACGCCTTATTTAAAAGCTCTAACTATAACTGCGTTCCCAAGACTCTATTACTGATGATGCTGTCTCATTGTATTGTCTGTTGAAACACCCATTTCAGATTACTTGGCACTGACAATGTTTGATATTGGACTCAACCCAAAGGTCCTGATCCAGGTCTCTTAAAGTGATAAGCTTAAAACAATAATATGAGTTTGCCACAGTGGCATGCCCACCTGAAGTTCTCTGACACTGTTACATTTTCTCATCAGTAAATGAACTTGTTACAACACCAGTGTTACCAATTAGACCAGACATTAAAAAAACAAAGATATTAATGTATGACATTCAATATATGTAAAGCTCTTGATCTTTACCAATGGATGGATGTGTGTCTTGCTTCTACCTTTAAACTTTGACACCAAATCCTCCCTAATGTAATGTACTTCTCTTTTCTGTGACTTTGCTGCTGCTGCTGTACTGGGCCGACACTGTCAGTTTATATTTGTTTTCAAGGCCACATTATAGTACCTTGGCCCTGAGGGTATGACTTTACTTTTAAATATCAGGTTTAAAATGTGTATATATATGTATACATGAGTATAGGGAACACTCAGCAATGAATTGATGCAATGTTACTGCTATAGGTGTAATGTACATAATATCAGTTCAGGGTACTACAAATAATTGCCCCTCCATGAGTGCAATACAGCGTCAGGCCTGTGAGCCTTCAGAAGAATATGGGTCTGGATCAAATGCTCTGCATGCAGCTCAGGAACAGACACCCATTACCTGAAAGGTGACCAGGTTGCAATGCAATGCTATTATGCATCATTTAGGTTATGTGTTCCTTTAAATGACTTTGGCAGAGGATCTATAGATATATATCCTTTATTATTGACATGTTTTGATTCATGTTTATCTTCTACTGCTTATCTGTATATCTTTATTTTATTTGTATTTATTTCTTGTATTCCTGTGCAATGTATTTTCTATGCTGATGTGATGAAAATGTTTACCAAATTGGGATTAATAAAGTATATCTTATCTTATCTTAGAGGTATAATACGAACTGTTATTTTACTAACCTTCAAAATTAATGTTGTACATACCTTAAAATACATAAATGAACGAGGTGCAATGTGCAGGAGTGTACACTTAAAACCTTTAAAAGTCATATCCACTTCATGCATTTTCTTGCATCTATATTGCTGTTTTGTATCTCTTACTGTCATCACTCATTTTGACTCACCATCTGTTTCTCCTTCCTTTCTTTCTTTTCTTCTGTCTTTGCTCTGTCTGGTTTTCTTGTTGTAGCCAACTGCAGCCCTCAGTGCCAGAACGGTGGAATGTGCCTCCGGCCTCAGCTCTGCGTCTGCAAACCTGGCTCAAAGGGGAATGCATGCGAGCAGCAGACGGTGCCCACACACCCCTTCCCTCTGCCGGGGAGTGGACCCACCAACGGGCACGGCACTGGCTCCTCAAACGGGCACACGTATGGACACAATGGGGTTCCCCACCGGCCCATACCTCAGCAGGCTGCTCCCAGTGGTTACGCCCCCCTTTCATCTAACACCATGGCCCAGATGAAACTAAGTGTCAAGCCAGCCCCCCAGCATGTACGGCCACATTACGTCCAACAACAGTAAGTACCACTCCTCTTATTTGTTCAGGACAAATCAGCTGAACTCTACGCTGTCTTTCACCAACTGCAAATGTATTTCTTCGAGTAGGTCACTAAACACTTTTTCTCGTCCACTGTTGAGCATCCCCTGCATAAAGTTACCTTATTTAACCACAACTACAAAAAGACAACATTTTAGAAAATACAGATCGCCCACATCCTAAAACACATAAGACTAGAAGGCCAGTGAAAGTGTTTTTTCATTCTTAATTTAGGCAGTAAAACTAGAGAAAAAAGCAACATTGTTTACTCCTGTTAAAACTAAACATTTCAGCTGTTGGAGTAGGCATGGAAACTATTGTAACCAAAACACATTGTTGGTTGTGTGAGGACCTACTTAAGTTTAAAACAATTCCTATTAGTATGTAGTGGCTCTACTGTGACATGTTTCCATACTTCAAGAAGGAAAACCCCAAAAATCACAATAGGGTCCCCTTAAAATGTCAAATCTGGGCCTGACAGGAAGCCTTAGGGAAAGATTGCACAGATTGCTATACAGTATATATCCTTTATTTAACAGACTCATTCAGATTAACATCTCTTTTCCAAGAGTGACCTGGCCAAGAAGGGCAGCATGAACAAAGTTACAACAGATAAAACACAGACAAGACAGGCAGACAAATACAGCTGTAAAACACAAATCAAATGGCACATTAGCCAGTCAATATGCGAAATAAAACAAACTATTAAAAATCATTAAAAAACTGGCAAAATGTAAAATGATTTTGTGGATATACGAGCACTCACATCTACCAATGGTGTCGTGTTCTCTGTCCTTTAAGATGGACCTGAATTCCCCCATAGTGATTACATCTGAGAGTTTCAGCTCCTTCTGTACATTGTTCCAAGCTGTGGGGGCAGCATATTTAAAGGCTGTTTACCCAGTTTTGTTCTCACTGTAGGAGCCAGCATCTGAATCAAATATTGGGAGCGCAGGCCATATAGACTTTCTCTTTGACACATAATGTGCAAATGTAGGAGGGAACCAACCCAAGCAGAGATTTATAAATAAAACCCAACCAATGGGAAAGTCTGCGAGCAGACAAAGATGGCCAATTAGCAGCAGCATATAAAGTGCAATGGTGTACTCCATATCCACATCCAGTAATAAATCGTAAGGCACAATGGTACACAGTATCCAAGCTCTTTAGGCACTGGTCAGAGGCATTCATGTATAGCAGATCACCATAATCTAATACAGGTAAAAACGTTGCAGATATCAAATGTTTCCTTGTCTGAAAAGAGAAACAGGATTTATTTCTGTAAAAGAAACCTCATTTTATTTTTAGCTTTGAAACAACATTTTCCGTGTGTAACTTGAAAGACAAGTTCTGTTCAATAAGAAATCCCAGATATGTGTAAGTAGTGACCCTCTCAATGTCAGTCCCTTGAGCAGTACAAATCTTGGGTAGAATAGATGGTAACTTTTTGCCATTTGAAAATATCATCACTTTTGATTTTCTGCATTTAATACCAACTTCAGTTGATATAAATGGGTTTGTATGACATCAAAGGCAGACTGGAGGCAATCTAGACTTTGCTCTATAGAAGCGGAGGAACAATAAATAACAGTATCATCTGCAGAAAAATGGTAAGAAGCATTTGCTAAATTATTACATAGATTATTTACATATATGGTGAAAAGAATCGGTCCTAATATGGAACCTTGTGGCACACCCTTTGCTATCGGGAGGAAGGAGGAAGCGGACCCAGAAAATTGGACGCATTGGGTTCTCGCTGATAAATCATTTAAAACCCAACCTACAGTATGCCTAGATAAGCCCATACTGTGAAGTCTTTCTGCCAGGATGATATGATCAACTGTGTCAAACGCCTTTGACAAATCAATAAATAGAGCTGCACAATGCTTTTTACAGTCCAATGCCTCAATGATGTTGTTCACCACTTTAATAGCAGCAGTTGTTGTGCTGTGTTGTTTTCTAAAACCGGATTGGTGCTCTGACAAAATATCATTTGTGTCCAACAATAATTGAAGTTGTTCACTGAGAAGCTTTTCAAGGACATTCACTACAACACATCATTTTGAAATTGGCCTATAATCATTAACAGATGAGGGATCCCCAACTTTCAGTAAAGGAAGAACATACTGTATGCAGATTTGCATATGTTAGGAATCTCATTGTTGGAAAGAGATCAATTAAAAAGATAAGTAAGCGGCTATAAAGTCTGCAGCTAATTTAAGAAAATGAGGAGGAAGTTTGTCTGGACCTGCCGATTTGTGTGGATCCAGATTCTGCAATGCTTTATGGACCTCTATCCCCTTGATCAATGTGAAATTGAATGGCTGAGCCACGGGATGGGATGGAGGTGGTGAGGAATCAACGTTCTGTCCAGGGTCCGAATGTAGGGACTCAAACAAAGAACCAGAAGAAATAAAATGTTCATTAAAGCCGTTGAGAATGGCCGATTGGTCAGTGAGAGTTTGCGAGTCTGTAACAATGCAGGCTGGTAATTCATTTTTAGTTTCTGTTCCAAATGAGTTTTGTATTACCTTCCAGAATTTCTTTGGATCATTTGAGTTACTTGTAGTATTAGAGATGTAGTACTCAGATGTAGCCCTTTTAGCTAGGAAGGTGAAACGGTTTCGGAGCTGTCTAAAAACAATCCAATCCACTTGGGATTTCGATTTTCTGGCCCTTGACCAGGCAATATCCCTTTCCTTTAGAATGCTGCCTGTGAGGACTAAACCAGGGATCTTTTAGCCCTTTCACCCTACATTTGCGGAAAGGAGCATGTTTGTTTATAATTCTAATAAAAGCCTCATGAAAAGAATCCCATGCCAGTTCAACATCACTAATGAGAGAGATCTTGTTCCAATCAAAATCCAAGCTATAATCACTTGCAAAGTCATACCCTGGTAACTAATGTACTATTCAGTTTTATCCAAGGTATATTGTTTGCTTGCTGCCTGGTATCACATGTTATGAAACCCTGTACTGGTATGTGGCCCTGGGTTTGGGAACCTCTGCCTCAAAGGACTTATGTGTCCTGAAGAGAGAAACCTTGGATTACACTGGCAGTGTCTGTTGTTTCTGCACCAATCAGGTTCATATCAACATGAACATACTGATGTACCTTTTCCCAGTTCTGGGATTTATACCAGCTACCCTCTGCACATCTTGGCCTCTTTTCTTGTCTAATTGGGAGAGCATGGACACTGCTAACAAAGAATCATTGTGTTTTGGCGTCACACCTACTCATGGTTTACTGATGGAGGCCAAGTCTGGTATCTGTCAAACATTAACCTAACCTGGTTTGGGGCTTCATCTGTTGATACTCACATATACAGTGTGTTTAGTTGCTAAATGACTCTTTGAAAGTATTGTAAATAATAATGGCTGCAAGCCAACTCCACACAGATGCTGATTCCAGCATAGGGAATAGTCTGCGTTTTATTTAAACACTGATTGTTTTCTGTGAAGGCCGTCACTGAGCTTTGCAGTCAGCAGTGGTGTTAAGTTAAGTACATTTACTCAAGTACTATACTTACAGTAAGTACAATTTTGAGGGACCTGTACTTTACTTGATTATTTCAATTTGTTGCTACTTTGTACTTCTACTCCACTACAATTCAGAGGTAAATGGTGTACTTTTACTCCACTACATGTATTTAACACCTTTAGTTACTTTACAGATGTGGATGAATGATGTGAAATATATTATATATATATATATATATATTAGTTCCACCTGGAGTAAATTCACAAGCTACCCTGCAGTATACAAAGTCATTCAAACTAGCTGCACCTTTACCAGCTTTGAGAACACTTTCATGATCAATCATTATAAAACATATCATATATATTATGCTGAAATGGACCAATCTGCACAATGACTACTTTTACTTTTGGTACTTTAAGTATATTTGTATGCTAATACTTTTGTACTTTTACTTAAAGGTGGGGTATGTAATTTATTTCAGATACACTTTTAGTTATATTCCATGGAATGCTCTTAACATCCCGATAGAAATGAATATCTTAATGTAAGTGCTTTGACAATAAATCCATAAAAACATTTCATCTGTGGAAGCCGTAATACTGTAAAAGCACGACCAATCATTTTAGCCGGCCCGGCTAAAATAACTGGATGGCCTACCTGCCTGTCAGCCTTCCATCTGTGCACAAACTTATCTCGTGCCCTCATTGGTCATGTGCGCGTTCGTGTGTGTTGGAGGAGAGGCTCTCTAAGGAAGTGGCAGATTTTTTCCGGCTGTGTATTTTCAAATTCTAGCGATCTCGAGCTGGTTTCTCCAAAATTACCTACCCCACCTTTAAGTAAGATTTTGAATGCAGGACTTTAATTGTAACAGAGTATTTCTGCTCTTTGGTACTTCTTCTTTTACTTAAATACACCATCTGATTAATTCTTCGACCTCTGGTCATCAGTGTAACAATAGGTAGAATTTCTCCCTTTCATAAGTAGAGTTCAAATACCACTCCTGCTTTACTGTTGGTTTGTTGTGGCTCTCACTGCATCAGATGACTAGAGAATGTGCAGCCGCATCATCATACACAGTAATAAAGGCCTCAAGCATGGACTTGAACAATCAGTTTTGAATTCAATGTAACAGCTTTACTGTATGTTGACAGAAACATCCAGAATCACCTGGGAGAGTTCCCAGTGCTGACACAGATCAGAGCAGACTTCTGATGTCGATGAATGATGTTTAGAATGTTAATGAATACATGTTGTGTCCTGTGTTTTACATGCACTGGTGAAGAGGTTTCTTATGCACAGGCACAAGTAATTGTTACCAGATCTGCGTTCTCTAAAGCTGCTCTCAATTTGCAGAGAGGATTTATCTCTCACAAGGAGCTGTTCTCCTATTGGTTCCTTCAACATATTTTACCATCTGATGGGAGAGATGATAGGGCAGTAATCCCCAGGTACTGAACTCAGGATCTCATCAGATAACTCAGGTGTACCCAACAGCTGAG